AAAAAAAAAAAATACCTGCGCATTGTGGTAGGCACCTGTAGTCCCAGTTACTTGGGAGGCTAAGGCAAAAGAATCACTTAACCCCAAGAGTTGGAGGTTGCTGTGAGCTGTGATGCCACGGCACTCTACTGAGGGCATCATAGTGAGACTGTCTCAGTGAAAAATAAAAAAGAGAATTGCTTGCAGGCCCACAGTGGACTGTGTTTGGACGGCTGTCTTTGCCATGACGCCTTTTCTCCTTGGCTTGGAGCATACAGGCGCGTGCCGGGACAGGACGGACTTCTCTTGTCTTTCTTTGCCCAGGTCCACCTCATACCGACCCAAGGGCTTCGACGTCACTGTGAAGTACACACAAGGGAGCTGGACGGGCTCCGTGGGAGAGGACCTCGTCACCATCCCCAGAGGCTTCAACAGCTCCTTTCTGGTCAACATTGCCACTATTTTTGAGTCAGAGAATTTCTTTATGCCTGGGATTAAATGGAATGGAATACTCGGCCTGGCTTATTCCACCCTAGCCAAGGTAAGGCTAATTAATGGATTTAGCAAATCGAACGATGGGATGAGATTCTGAACACCAGTCACCACTGGGCCAACTGACAGGTCCCAGGACCTTGGAGACAGTCGGTGAGAGTCATGTGGTTGGAGGAGACCAGTGTTCACACAATTATATTTCTAAGCATTTTTAAAATTTAAAGTAAATGGCATGATCCTTTGACTTTGGGGGGGTTTGTTTATTTGAGTTCTGTAGTTAAAAATGGTAATAGAATTTGAATCATGTGGATTATGGTATGTGTTCAGGAGCTTTTACTAGGCTAAAAAGAAAACACATTTATTAAACTCATTTGTTTGCGTGAGATGGAGTCTTACCAGGCTCCGTCCCAGGCAGCCCTGGGATGTGGGCAGCTGGACGTGCCTCTGTGGGGCTGGCCGTGTGTCCTGCCATTTCTCAGGGGGCACCGCTGAGGAGGGTCATGGAACTGGAAGGGGCACTGTGAGAACGTGCCCTGGGCTGCCAGCCACACCCCAGGGAGGAGCCCTGGCCCTCTTTGGCGTCAGAGCCTTCCTCAGATGGAGGAAGACAGAATTGGATGTTCCCCAAATATTTGTACTTGGGGCCACCCCAAAGAAAAATCTATCTGTGTGCAGGAGGGGAAGAGGCAGGCAGGGAATTTCCATCTGGAAGGGTTGCCAGAGGTAGGCGGGGTCAGGCCCCAAGGTTGTGGCCTGGGCTCCAGGACACCCCCAGGGCTTCACGCACTTGACAACAGCTGGTTTCTATTCCAAGTTGTGGTTGCTTTGTTCTGCTGCCTCTGGAGAAGGCCAGATGGTGACATGGCCAGACCCAGCCCCCTCCAACAGGGACTCATCAGGCCTCTTATCCCAAATGCAAGTGTTCCCACAAAGACCACCTAGGGACGCATTCTGCCTTAGGATTCTGCAGAAGCCGAGAAGAGACAGCTAGGAGGCCACATAGAGCAGACCTGAACGTGAAAGGACTGTAGCTATTTGGTAAGGACATCTACTCCCACTCCCTCCAGAATTATAGCTTTAGTTCTCACATATAGCAAAGAATTGTTCCAATGAATGACCCAGGAAGTCAGGGGACACCTGTGGCATCTGCCCTGCTACCGCTTATCCGTAAGTTTTCATCAGAAGACTGCTGACTGGTGGTGACCAACTGTGGTTGTCACTTAGTTGTCAAAGCCAGAATCCAAACGCAGGTGTGCTGCTCCTTTGCTGCACGCCCTGCACCCCGGGCCAGCCCCAGCCAGGTCTTTCCTCATCTTTTCCCCGCTTGGTGAAGAAATGGGGGCATCGTCTGAACCTCTGACTGTGAGAGACGGAGACACAGCAGACGATGGCGGCTGAAATTTGGCCGTGGTGAATAACGAGGTTGTTAAACCTCACAAGTGTAGATTTCTTCCTCTCCTGCTACATTCCTGACCACCAGAGTTCAGCAGGCCGGGCTGGGCTCTGTCCAGGGTCTGGGAGCCCGTGTCCTCACGGGTCGGTCAGCTCTCATTTGCGCGATTGAGAGCTGCAGCTGGCAGAGACAGACAGAGACTTCACACAAGAAAATGTCGAAGATGAGACCCATCTCTTACCATAACCCACTTCCATGGCTTCTTGTGCCCACCCCCCAAGGCAGTTATGATGGAAAATGTGACAACGTCCCAATAGCTGCTGGAAATAATATCCTATTTTGACAACAGCTGTGCCCAAAGGAAAAACACAAGGAAGCAGGCAGGGCTGTCGGAGCTCTCTGGATGATTGCATCTGGTCATAAGCTTGTTTTTTTGTGTAGTTGTGAAAAAATTAAATATAAAGACCAAGAATGTTGTCTGTGGTATGTGGTGTCTACACTGTGAGTCATGAAGCAGGTGTCCTCTTTGTCACCCTCCCGCAGCCATCAAGTTCCCTGGAGACATTCTTTGACTCCCTGGTGACACAAGCAAACATTCCCAACGTTTTCTCCATGCAGATGTGCGGGGCCGGGGTGCCCGTAGCTGGATCTGGTACCAACGGAGGTAGTCTTGTGGGTATCTTTTAGTCTTAAAAGGGTGAAAAATCATAAATTGATGGGGCTGGGTTTTTTTTTTTTTCTGTTTTCTTTAAACACCTGATCAGGAAAATGAGAGGTGTAGGCGTGCATAGGTACTGTGAAATTGTGATAATCCTTGTTATATAGGTCCTTTTAAAAATGGATAAAATTAGGTATTACTTTTAATCTTTCCTAATCATCCTGCCATCTAGACGATTCTCATTGCTTCTCCCAATTCCATTAATGCTTTCTTCTGCTGTCCTCTGGAAAGGAACTGCTTTCTTTGTGGGGTGGGAGGTAGGGTTGCCAAGGGACCCTCACCCTTGGTGTCAGGACACAGGGTGATGCCTGCGATTTCATGAGTTTGGTGGGGAGATGGGGACACCTGTACGTCCTTTCTTCCTATCTCTCGACACACACACAGGGTGAGTGTTTTCTGTGGACACAGAGCCATGGCCGGCAGTACTAGGGACGTACTGTAGGCTGAGCTTACCCCCGTGGACCCTGCACACATACATCTAAAGTGGGAGGTGACAGGAGGAACACCTGAGAAGGACCCGCACACAGATGCCGCAGCCCCCATGCTCGCTACCAGAGACAGGCAGGTCGCGGCCCCTGCCCCCAGCTGCCTGCGTTTGCCGAGAACAGGGCTGATTTAAACGCTTTTGTGTCCCCATCTGAGCAGAGAGGATAGCCTAGGAGGTGAGGGAACATCTCAGAGTCTTGCAGAAGGCAGCTCTGATTAGGAAACTCTTTTCTTCTTCTTTCTTCTTTTCTGACTTCTCAGGGACTAAATTATTGTCAGCCAGTGTGGATAACTATTTTATTAAGTATTTGGGGGGAGAAATCTCAATATTGTGAAGCTGAGATTGTAAGCACTTTCCTTAGATAAGGGACCCACCAGCGCATTCCATCTACACGAGGGCATAATACGGTCTGACCTTTGGCCTTGAAACCCCCATCATCCCTTAAGCTTACCCTTGTTTCATAGGACCACAATAACCCACTGACTCCAGTGGGGTTCCCCTTTAGAGGGACGTGCTCTTCTGTGTAACCTGTTGCTATGTCTGTGTTTTTTTCTCTTATTCCTGCAAATATTTTTCTTCCCAGGTCCTGGGTGGAATTGAACCGAGTCTGTATAAAGGAGACATCTGGTACACCCCTATTAAGGAGGAGTGGTATTATCAGATAGAAATTCTGAAGTTGGAAATTGGAGGCCAAAGCCTCAATCTGGACTGCAGAGAGGTGTGTGAGCTCTGTTGTGTCTGTCGGTCTGCGTGTGCCTTAAATGTGACAGCTGGGACCTGTGTATGTCATTAGAGGGTGCATTATGTTACCAGATAAAACAAAGTTTCACAGCGTGAAAACACGCAGGGCTTTTCTGCATGGGATGTCTAAGTCAGTGAATCCTTCCCCACCAAAGTGCTTCCTCCCACTTGGCTTAATAGGACAAAATAAGCATGAAAGGGTGAGCAGGGACGGATGGTCTGAACCACACCTTCCATCATTCACCTTAGTCTGTTGGGCCCTGAGCTCCATTTAAAGTGAACTAAACAGATTGTCATCAGTGTGGAAAAAAAAAATCACTACTTTTATCCTCCATCACACATCACTGCCCCCACCCTCGTGGTGCACAGACGCTCACTGCTCTGAAGTTGGTGGTGCTAACGAGGACAGCCAGATATGCTGTGGTGCCAAGCCCTGGGACCTGTGCCCACAGCCTCTCCCTGCACTGGGACTGATGTGTGGCACGTTACGACGTTATGGTTGTGATCAGGCTGGAGGGAGCGTGGTCTTCTATGGCCTTTTTAGAATGGTTTATAAAAGCTACCAGCATTTTGTTGTAATCCTACCTGTTAGGATTACACCACCAGGTTCCAGTACCAATTCTCACATACGTGGGTGCCTCTGAGAAACCACCCAAAGGTTGATAAAATGGTGATCCTTCCACTGTTTCGGCCCTAAACCCACAAATCTGGGTTTATAGTCAGAAGAATTAAAGAATCCTCTGGGGTAATCTAATGCAAGGGCTTAAAATAAAGTGCAAACTTGTGTATGTTCATGTGTGCAGGCGCATGTGTACATGTGTATGTGCACATATGTGTGTGTGCATGCGTGCGTGTGTATGCATGCATGCGTGTGTGTGTGCGTGCATGTGTATGTGCACGTGTGTGTGTGTGTGCGTGTGTGTGTATGCATGCATGCGTGTGTGTGTGCGTGCATGCGTGTGTGTGTGCGTGCATGTGTATGTGCACATGTGTGTGTGTGCGTGTGTGTGTGTATGCATGCATGCGTGCGTGCGTGCGTGCGTGTGTATGCACGGGCTCACATTTGGAGGCCGCTTCTTAGGTTCCAGGCCCACTCCTGCCCGCCTCGTCTGCACCCTCCCCACGTGAGAAGCAGCAGCAGACCCGGCACCCCCTGCCGCTGCCTTGCACTTTGCTTTGGGCCTTCCATATATTTGCTTTTCTTACATGAACAAAAAATAGTAATTTTATATTTTAAATTTGTTTTTAAGCTGGAGATACTTTTGAGGATACTAATCAATTGACATATCTCATCTTGTTAAAATTCTGAACTTCCTCCCTTACTTCTTTAGACTTGGTTGGTGGAGCTGTTTGGTCATAGGACTGCTGGGTTTACTTGGATCAGATGCATCCTGGGCAGCCTTGCTGACGCACCCCTGTGTGTCCCTAGTGGCGGGGGTGGCCTATCATGTGTCACTTACTCCCCTGCTTTCTCCTCCCTATGCCCCATAAAGAATGTTGCAGGTGGGATGGGGCTGGCTGTGCCTGTGTGTATGTGACGGTCAATCATAGAATGTGTCTGGTTCCTTTCTAAATGCAAATGTGAGATGTCTGTTGAAAATTATCTTTTCTTCATCTCTTTCTTCTCCTGTGAGATAATAGAGAGTTGATTTTTTGTACAGTTCGCATAAGTGGCTTTTGATATGTCATTTCACCCTCTAAAGACAGACAGGTGTTCCCTGTGCCCTGTGGGAGGCCCCTTGCTGGGGCATCAAGGCAGCTCTGGGGAAGGAGAAAGCTCTGCCCCGGGGCTGCTGATTTAGATCACATCTTCCCTTCCCTGGGCCTCAGTTTTCTTACCTCTGCAGTGAGAATGTTGGTCTAGAAGGTCCTGGACTCCCAAGTTCTGAGAATATGAAATGAAGTATAGTCGCCAGCGAGCCCCTGCGGCTGCCTGGATCTGTGTATGACAGGCACACAGTGGTGGTGGCTGGAGATCACCGGTGTCACTCACACGCCTCTCCCTTGCTCTCCTCTGTTCTAGTATAATGCGGACAAGGCCATCGTGGACAGTGGCACCACGCTGCTGCGCCTGCCACAGAAGGTGTTTGACGCGGTGGTGGAAGCTGTGGCCCGCACGTCTCTGGTGAGTCCCCGGGAGCCTCATGGGTCTTCAAACACCAGGTCATGATCACACACTGCTGGCCTCCCAGCCATCGCTCTAGATGGCTTGAATTTTTATATTTTGTATTTGTATATTTCATATATAACATAGGTGTGATACTAACAAACATCTATATATTTCATATTCATTTTAAGTTTTTATGTTTCTAGGGTTATTTTTAACTATAACTTGCTAATTTCACAATCTTGTTAATTGACCTTAACCAGCAAATAATTTCTTCACTCCAACCTCAGAGGACTTGGATTTGAATGTACGGTGTTTTTAGTATTTCGAATAATAGTTCAAGCAGTATAGTATTTTTTTTATCTGAGAAAAGTAGCACATGGTATTTAAGTTAACAGTAAATCAAGGCAACATTTATAGCTCAGACACATAAACCAAAAAATCTCACTCTGGTTTGACCTTCACCTAAGCTGTGCTGTTATCTTAACTTCTACTTCTGAAAAAGGTTATGATTTTTTTCACAGAGGACAGAGGTCAGTGGGCCAGTCGAATAACGATTTTATGGCCATGCTCTGACATATAATTAAAATCATAGCTGAGGATGATGGATCTCTTGGGGACCTGGGTGGTGTCAACTTTCCAATCAGTTGGAAAGGCCACAGCATTGGATAGAACACAGCTGTAGGGTCAAATGGAATGAAATTTAGTGTAGTTTTGTCACTTACAGCTGGTTGCCAGGGAGGAGTTTTGGTTTCGTGGCCTCTGAGAACCCCCATGCTCTCTCCATGGGGTGGCTGCGAGGACCTGGGGCCAGCGGCCTGGTGTTTAGCAGACACTCTAATGTCCGGCCCTGGTGCTGCTGCTCTGTGCTGGGGTGTGGGACAAACATTACTTTTGGCCCCTTGAGTATTTTCATGGCCTCTGTCCACCCAGAACTATCTTGCAAGATCACCAAGAAAGGAGTGGTCCCTGCACAAGGCCTCAATCTCGGTACTAGCGTGGGACAGACAGTCCCACTACTCTTGTAATGGCTGAATTCAAACAACAGCTGATAGGAAAGGGCATGGCAGTCACCTCGATACAGGTCACGGCAGAAACATGGGAGCGAGAGAGGGCTTTTGGTTGTCTTGAACCTAAACTTTAAAGTTTGTAACGGCAGCAAGCCGATGAAGGCAACACAGGGGGAGATGAAGGAGAGGGGACCCGGCCCTGTTACACCCACAGGTCTCCAGATGACAGCCTGAGGCGCTGCCCTTGACACAACAGAGCCCTGGTCTTTCCCACTATCTGCTGAACTGGAAAAAATGGGCAGGTAACATTTTTAATGCCTTAAATTTAGGACACTTGCTAAAAATCACACCAAACTTAAAATGAGGAGCAATACACTGGTTTCTTAAATAGCAAAACTGTCTAGACACCAGGTCTGGCCACACACTGACGTCCTCCAAACCTTCGCTTCAGGTAGTTTGAATTTTTATATTTGTATATTTCATATATAACATAGGTGCGATACATATAAACATGTTTATATATTTTATATTCATTTTTATTTTTATATTTTGAAATACTTTTTTAACTACAACTTATCAATTTCAGTCTTATTCATTAACATTAACCCACCAATAACGCCTATTTTCCGTCCTCAGAGGACTTGGATTTGAACGTGCAATGTTTTTAGTATATCAAATAATAGTTCAGTTGGTATAGTGAGCTACACCAATTAGCCTGGGTATCTTCAGACTTAACATGCTGGTTGATAAATGTCTGACAACTGTCCCAAGCATGTGTATGAAGCTTCAGTTGTGACTCCAACAGGCAGCGCCCCGGGCTCTGTGCCAGAGAGGCAGCCCGAGGACTGGCCGTTCCCACTCCCGGGCCCCTCACCCCATGTGTTCCGCAGGGACTGGCTTTGTGAGAAAACCATGCAGTAGAAGAAACGAGATCACAACGTTTGTTTGCCTCGTCTAAAATTATCCACTGGATTCATTCAGCGCCTGCGTCAGGAAGGAGAGACACGGGAAGGCTGTTTGTCTTGGGCAGGGAACACTCAGCCAGGGAGCACTATCTTGGTCTCACATCGTGGACCAGGGGCCTGTTTGTTCTTCGTATCTGCCAGGGTCCTGTAAGCCGGCCTACCTGACTCGGGTTGCTTTCTAGGCAAGAGAGTTAAAAGTCGAGCCCTGTGTCCTGGCATGGACTATACAGATGGGCTTTTAGAACTTAGAAATTAGTGGTTTGTAGGTCTGTGTTTAGACATGATCCCAGAGGGGAGCTCCACGGGGGCTGGACAGCCTGTACAGAGGTGTGGGCACCTGCTCGGTCTGGCCTGGCCAAGGCCCCTGTGTCTCAGGCCCAGTACTTTTCTGATACTCTTCTAAGGTGACTTTGAACTTTAAAACTCAGCATTCGGTCCCCAGTTTTCCCACGGTTGAAACTGTCTCACAAGGGCTTGAGGCACAGGGGAGGACTCCAGACTTATGGTTGAGGGACCTGTGTTGGGGTCTGGAAGTCCCGCATCTGGCTCTGAGCTGAGCCTCTTCTTCCTACAGTCAGGGGTGGTCATAGCACTGTCACTGGAGCTCTGCTGTCACTGCTGGCCCAGTTCCCACGCCCCTGCCAGGTCCAGCAAAAGGACCCGCCCACCTCCCATCACCGCCTCTGCAGAGGAGCTCTTCCCAGTGATGCGTATTTCAAATCAACTTTTTTAAAAAGCAAAGATATGGGCTTGGGGCCCATAGCACAGTGGTTACAGCACCGACCACATACACCGAGGGTGGTGGGTTCAAACCCAGCCTGGACCAGCTAAAACAATGATAACTCCAACAAGAGCCAAACAAAACATGGCTGGGCATTGTGGCAGGCACCTCTAGTCCCAGATGCTTGGGAGGCTGAGTCAAGAGAATCGCTTGAGCCCAGGAGTTTGAGGTTTCTGTGAGCTGTGATGCCAGGTCATACTATGGAGGGCAACAAGGTGAGACTCTGTCTCAAAAAAAGCAAAGATATGTTAATGCCAGCAGAATGTTAATGCCAGCATGAGTGATTTTATCATACACGTTGATCGTGAAGGGTCTGGTGGGGAATGTGGGAGGGTGGACGGCAGCAGGGCACCTTCTCCCCAGCCGTGCTCCCTGGAGGGGACAGCAGGCACGTCCTGTGTGTGGTTGTGGTTGTGGAGTGTGTGGTACCAACTCAGCCTCGACGTGTGGGCGTCACAAGGCTCGTTGGTGGCGCCTGCCTTATTTCCACGCCCACTTGGGCAGCTTTCTATCCTGGTCTCCTGTCTTCCTTCCTGACTGTTCCTCTGCTTCTGCAGCACCCCTTCCCTCCTCTGTGGCAATTCCCCTTGCCATGTCCCTCCCTGGGGGGCCTCTCTCTCCCCCGATCCCATTTGGGAGTATGTAGCCCAGGCCGCGTCCTGGAGCTCCACACACTCTAGAGGCCCAAGGCCCGTGGTGTGTGCTGGGCACCTGTGTCACTTCATCGTGCCTCGGGGCTCAGACCTCTGTCCTCTGTCGTGGCTGCAGCCTGCTCTCTTCCTGGCCTCACCTCACGTCTTGCTGTGTCCTTGGCACCAGCGTCATGGTTGTCATCCTTGTCACTGGGGTAGGTCCACCCTGCACCCTTGGCTCTGACCCCACACTTCCTTTGTGCCTGCCCAGCCCTGTAGTCCAGCTCCCCCTCCCAGCCCCGTCCTTTCCTCCACCCCCCACCTCTGCCTCATGTGGACGCTGTCCCAGATGTACAAGGGGCACATCAGTTATAGTCCTCCTGGGAAGCCAGGCAGCCCAGGGCCAACTCTGCTCAGAAACCTCTCCTGTGCAAGAGTGCAGGTGTTACATCTAGATTTGGCATCCCACAGCTGCAGGTGGGCGGCCTGTGTTGGTAGCCACCTTTTTGCCCCTGGAAGACATTCGGGGTTTTTTGACCAATATTTCTTGAGTCTCTCTTGGGTGCTAAGACAATGTGGGGGCTGGGCAATCACCCTCTGTCCTGAGAGGACAAGATTCTAGCAAAGGAGATGGTCAGTCATGGTGGTATGTGTAAACTGTGACCCCAAGAAGGACCCCTCCATGGTTTTCTCGTACTCAGTGTGGAGCCAGGGAGGCTTCCATGACCACACCCCTGTCTGAGCTAAGCTCTGGAGTAGGAGAAGGATGACCAGGAGAGCAGAGAGCACCCCTGGGCCCATGGAATTCAGAGGACAGGTGATGCCCAAAAGGGCCTTGAAAGCCACATTTGGAACGTCTCTCGTCTGAAAAGCTGGTGTCGGCTGTGTGACCCTGTCGAGGCCCTGCCCTCTCCGAGCTTTGCTTTCCCCATCTTCCAGGCGGAGGGGTGATGTCAGACCCTGGAGGATGAAGGTATTTGCTGCCACAGAGCTTCCGTCGTGACAGCACCTCACGTGGGGAAGGGCCTCCTGTGTCTCAGCAGCTTCGATGATTATTACTTTGTCATCACCATCACTCTTCCAGGGGCCTGATGTCCCTGCTGTTCTGTCCAAATTAAACATTGTTTGTCCCGTGGGCATCTGGTGAGGTGGTGGAGAGCCCAGAGCTGTTTCCTGTTGACTTGTCACCAGTTCCCATGTGCTCTCGTTTTGTCTAGATTCCAGAGTTCTCCGACGGCTTCTGGACTGGGTCCCAGCTGGCATGCTGGACGAATTCTGAAACACCTTGGTCTTACTTCCCCAAAATCTCCATCTACCTGCGAGCAGAGAACTCCAGCAGGTCATTCCGCATAACTATCCTGCCTCAGGTAGGAGCTCAAAGTGATGCTTTTCTGTTTTTAACACATAACATGCAAAATGGAAAACACTGCAGTGTCACACGCGCGTCTCTGCCGTCACACCTGCCGTGTCACACCTGCAGTGTCACACACGCGTCTCTGCCATCACACCTGCTGTCACACC